AAAGAGCCACACTGGATGGGACAATTAATTTTGAAGCCAATGGGAATAATATCATTGGTTCAATGGAGGTTAGGTTAGGACCAGATGGACACAAATTCTTCACAAACAATTTTTATGTACCAAATATATGGCCAAAACAAAGATTTAAATAAAGTTGGAAATACAGAACAATAGTTTGAGATTGAATGTTATGGATTTTAAGAAGGTGGATGATAAATGGTAAAGTGCTATTATTCCTTATAAAATTCCTGTTTTAAAGTAATCTTCAATTTTTTTTATAAACTATTTTCTTCTCAATATATGCTCTGTCTTATATTGCATTATATTACTTTATAATCTATTATAAACATTTAAAATTAGAAGCTTCTGTTCTTCTGAACTTGAGAATGAGTGAATGAATGAATGAATATATATATAATAAATAAATTATAAATGAAATTATATATACAGTATATAATTTCAAAAGCTGTGCTTCAGCCATTGTTCAAATTTGTAATTGTGAGGATGGAAGTACTTCTTACCATTAAATATTTTTAAATTATTCTGAAACTCCTCTGCAAAATAAAGATCTACTTTTAAAGAAACCAGCATACACCTCAATTATAGTATTGTGCAAACCTACTTACAAATGATTTAGTTTCATGAACAAATCATCTTCATATTATACTCTACTTACAGTAAAACACTGGAAAACACTATAATATACTGTAAGTGGAAATTAAAGGTTTTCTTCATTCTTGGGAAGAAATAGTGTCGTCTCCTGGGGTAGGAGTTTCCAGTTAACGTCCCTTAAGCATTCATCCTCTGACATTTGCTTTTCAATCAATTCATTTTTAAGGTTTCAGTTTTAAGATGCTATCTCGATGGGGCATTAATTCCCAAATTCCTTTTTAAATTTGAACTATCTACAGAACTGTCACTTGGAGAACTACTCCTATGTTTTAATCCCACAAAAGTCCAATGTCAAACAGTTTACCTGATTACCAGCCCCAGATGCAGACATAGTCTGTTCTGAAGGATGAATTATGCTTGGTTGAAGTGACTGTGGAAGTGAAGGCAGCATCTGCTGCTGCTGTGAAACTGCTTGCATATTCTGAGTATGGAGGGGAGAAGATACAACTTCATTCTGTATTATCTGCTGGAGGGTAGCCTGGTACATTTGTTGTTGGGAGAGCTGGGCTACCGCAGGATGTGTTGGTAAAGCTGACACTCCTGGTGGAGGCACAGGAAGTAATGGTACTGGAGCAGCCGGCATATTTGGCACAATTGTTTGGCAGGGTAAGACCAAGGAAGCCACAGTTGTATGAGGAAGGTTGACTGCTTGCAGGGGGAGGGCAGGGGGATTTGATGACAGTGGCAGAGCAGAGTTCACAGGAAGGCTTGGTAAAATCACAGCTGGAGGAAAATATTGAGAAGGAGCAGGTATAGGGGGCATATTTGCAGCAGGTATATCAGACAGGTTTGAAGGATGACTATCAAGTCCTGCCAGAGGAGTGACTGCGGGAATGACAGGAAATTGAGGAATCTGGAAAAAAATATAATATGTGAATTGCAAGAGAATTCCCAGGATGACATTAAATTGATTCATTTGCCTTATATTAGTAAAATGATGATTCCTCTTTTTTGAAGTGTAAGCAACCCAGAATCATCTGGAGTTGGGTGGCTCCTAAGCTATATCAACAAATAAAATGAAAAATGACTTCCATTCATTTTTCATGGGTCTAAATTGTTCTAGAACAAATGCAGGATAGGCTTTCAAAGCAACTGCATGTTAATAGAACAATCCAAAATTAATACAAAGGAAATATAAAGCATGCAGCAACCTGTTAATAACCAAAATTAATACAAAGGAAAAATAAAGCATGCAGCAACCTGTTAATAATTACTCATTGCATGCCTAGAAACATTTTAGACAAATATCTGCCATACACCAATCGTAACTGATGCCGTGCCTTGTGACTTTCCATGGTATGAATGGAGCTTCTCTCTGTTCAGGCTCTCGTACTCACTTCAGTAGAGTATTACAGTGGGGCAAAAAAGTATTTAGTCAGCCACCAATTGTGCAAGTTTTCCCACTTAAAAAGATGAGAGAGGCCTGTAATTTTCATCATAGGTATACCTCAACTATGAGAGACAAAATGGGGGAAAAAATCCAGAAAATCACATTGTCTGATTTTTAAACCTTCATTGCCCGGGCGGTGTGTTTGGGATCATTGTCATGCTGAAAGACCCAGCCTTTAAAAATCAGACAATGTGATTTTCTGGATTTTTTCCCCCATTTTGTCTCTCATAGTTGAGGTATACCTACTTTAAAAATCAGACAATGTGATTTTCTGGATTTTTTCCCCCATTTTGTCTCTCATAGTTGAGGTATACCTACTTTAAAAATCAGACAATGTGATTTTCTGGATTTTTTCCCCCATTTTGTCTCTCATAGTTGAGGTATACCTACTTTAAAAATCAGACAATGTGATTTTCTGGATTTTTTCCCCCATTTTGTCTCTCATAGTTGAGGTATACCTACTTTAAAAATCAGACAATGTGATTTTCTGGATTTTTTCCCCCATTTTGTCTCTCATAGTTGAGGTATACCTACTTTAAAAATCAGACAATGTGATTTTCTGGATTTTTTCCCCCATTTTGTCTCTCATAGTTGAGGTATACCTACTTTAAAAATCAGACAATGTGATTTTCTGGATTTTTTCCCCCATTTTGTCTCTCATAGTTGAGGTATACCTACTTTAAAAATCAGACAATGTGATTTTCTGGATTTTTTCCCCCATTTTGTCTCTCATAGTTGAGGTATACCTACTTTAAAAATCAGACAATGTGATTTTCTGGATTTTTTCCCCCATTTTGTCTCTCATAGTTGAGGTATACCTACTTTAAAAATCAGACAATGTGATTTTCTGGATTTTTTCCCCCATTTTGTCTCTCATAGTTGAGGTATACCTATGATGAAAATTACAGGCCTCTCTCATCTTTTTAAGTGGGAGAACTTGCACAATTGGTGGCTGACTAAATACTTTTTTGCCCCACTGTATGTCCATATGTAGCTGCTCTCTCAACTGAAGGGAGAAATGCCTACCCATGCACAAGTACAAACACTTTGTCTATACTAAGACTGCTATAATTTCAAGTTGCTATTAATTAAATACATACACATATTGCATGCAACTTAGTGTTTTCCTCCTAAATTGAACTCATGTGGAGTTGATTTTGAAGACTAATAAATGGTAAAATTCAGCAATTTTCAGAGTGCGGATTAAGAGTACATTAGAATTAGTAACAAGAGAAGGTGGATTACATATTTCCCAATGCAGATGATATGATGTTGGAGGAAGCAAGTACGTCAAGGGTCAAGGGTGGGAAAGAATATCTTTTCTTGTGTGTATAAAAGCAATACAGTACATAGAATATAAGGGCTTAGCAAGCATGGCAAATGAGATTCAGGTTGGGAGGGGCATATTAGAAAAATGTTAAATTGGAATACATTATCAAAAAGTAAGGAACCCTTAACAAGCATTTAAATAATTCCAATTCTTTCATTAGAAACAATACAGCAACTATAAGCATATAATTTATCCTACTCATTATACAAATAGGTAAGCATAACAATGTTCAACATTACACAGCTTTGACAAAACCATTATTTAACATACATGCTTAGGTATCAGCTGATAGCTTTGACTTGAGATATTAGTTCCACACATTATAAGTATACAAAATGATATGCATACTCATTTTCACTTCAGCATTAAAAATAAGGCTAAACTTCTGTTATTAAAATAGTGGGATTTAAAAATGGATTATTCTGTAATGAAGTTACTGGAATTCAGTTAAAAATACCTGCCTTTATGGAATAAATGCATTTGTGCTAGATTTACTTAAGTTAGTTCTTGGAACTACATCATACAATAGATCAGCCTTTTCCAATCTGGTCCTTTCTAGGTATATGTGAATGACAACTCCAAAATTTCCAAGAAGCCTAGGATTTCTGGAAGCTGCGGTCCCATCACATCTGTTAGACACCAGATGGGTAAAGGGTAGAACAGATTGATACAAAGATACAAATGATCATTTATGAGGAGGCAGGTGATGCTTTGATAATAAAATATTCACTTCCATATTGAATGTAATCAGATTTTACAACAAAATCCTGCTTGTGAAAGCCTTTGTTTCATTCTTCATCAATCATTGCTGGAGTTTGTAGCTGTCCACATACTCCATTGCTTTCTATTTACAGCTGCCTAGTAAGCACAGCAAGGTGTTAGAAGAGGCATCATAAATTCTTTGAGGTTTCTGGGGAGGCCTCATTTGGGCAAATTTAGCTGGGCAATGCAGGAAGATCAAGCTACAAAGAAAAACTTTCATAAATAAGAGAAAGCTTCAAAATAGCTGGGGAGAAAGAGAGGAAGCATCTAGGATAAGCCTGAAGAGAGAAGATAAGAAAAGGGGGATGGGCAAATGAAAAAAGTTATCTCTGGATTAATTTTGGTTTTATTTTATTCTGGAATCCTGAGTTTGGACTCGCTTTTGGGGCAATTCAGGCAATTGTGACAGGATGCAGGAGTGGGGCGGGGAAAGACAATAATTTGAGTCCAACATATTTGTATGGCATCATCTTAGGGTTATCAATCTGGGCTTTTCTTATTACATGAAAGGACTTCACAAGTAGTGGCTGCATTTGGACTTCTATTCCTTTAATCTTACATGGTAGTGTACATTTAGGTCTAAAGATTCTCCTAAATGTAATGACAAAAAATTCTTTCACAGAATTTCTTAGGATTATTAATAGTGGTGATTTATAGTTCTACCCACTCTCTATAATGTCTGTAGCTTCCAGATCTGAGTTGATCCTTACAAGGTGGAAAAGGAGTTTTTGTCATTTGTTATAAGTGAACTACTTCCTAAACAGAGAATCAGTGGGGGCGACAGTGATGCTATTGTCATTCATGTGCTTAGAATGTGCCTTTTGATCATATTTCTGAGTGTGTATGTGCATGTGTACCTTTGGTGTATTTTGTATCTAAATACGCTATATACAGCTATATGCTGTAGGCATATTTTCTGAAATGAGGCAGATAACAGAACTTAGTTCTTTGTACTCTATCTCTGGAATGTTTGGAACTACTCAGGGCCCCTTCTAGTGAGAAGAGAAATATTTTTATTTTCTCAGCATACTGTATGCTTAAAAGACTAAACTATGAACTAGAACTGGCGATACTCTGATCCAAATCATCATTCTTCCATAATCTAGTCATCCAATCTCAACCTAACCTAGACCAACACAATTTTTTTGAGAATAAAAGGGGAAGGAAGGGAAGAGGAGGAATCACATATTCTGCTTTATCTTTTATTATTTATCTGATACCAGATGGCACTACAATTCTATAATTAAACTGTTATAGCCTCATCTGCCACCTATTGTTTTTCCTGAAAAACAGAAGAACTAGAATTAAAACTGGAATAAATAGTAGAGGAGAATACATAAAAACAAAAGACTGAAGAACTGTAAAACAGGGTGAAGAAGCCCAGAAATACATCAGATGGCAAGGTTATTGAGGAGGCCCAGTGAAACTGATTCATCTGAAATGGGCCAAGAGAGCTCTGTTTCCTTACACCTAATAGTGGAGGAGATATGGAGAACAAACAGAACCACCAAAGAGGAAAGAAGGGAGCCACTGGTTCTCTGTGTGGGAGTCAGAGAAGTGGGGAGAAAGGGCCCCTTTCCAGAGAAAACAGGGATCGTGTACTTATCACCTGGGGAGAGCCAGGTAGGGACTGTTGGGGGAGAGACCTGGGTTGAGGAGAGTTTTGGCTTGTTTCAGTTGGGGATGTACGGCTTAGGAATGTATGGTTGCATAGGGTACAGCTTCCAGATATTGTACTTGGTTGGCCACAGTGGAGAGATTGTTACTTTGCATAACTGGAGTGTTTGGGAGCAGGGGCTAAGTAGCTAAGAGGGACAGAGATAGGAGGAGGAAATCAGTAGGGCCAAGCAGGGGAGAGTATGAAAGGAGACTGGGGGTGGGGAATGGAGGAAGAGACATCCCAAGGGAAAGGGGATTGGAAATTTGTACTTCTGGGCCCCAATCAAGACACATGAGCCAGACAACTGGATTACTGGACATTCTGGGCTCAGGCTGATTCTTTTAAATGTCAGCTTCCAATAGATCTAGCCTCATATATGACTTAATTGTGAATGAGAGGGCAGACCAGGTGTGTGCCCCCAAAGAAAAGATTTCAGCACCTCTTAAAGAGATGCTGATCCACCCATTCCTCAAGATGCCTGGACTGGATCCAATGGGAACTTCTTTCCCAACCTCTCTTTCTTTGGAAGGTTTGTGGAAAAAGTGATGGGGCTGCAGTTACAGAGAACACAGATTGTCTCAAGTAATGTCAGTCCAGAATCAAGCCCAGGCAAGAAACAAAAACCACACTGGTTGCTGTCGTGGATGACCTGTGGACAGAGGGAGTGCAACTGCCCTTGTCTTCCTAGATCTCTCAATGGCTCTTGATATTGGACAAGATCCATCTGGTCAGGATGTGAATGTCAAAACTGTGGTGGCAGATGAGGAAATGTCTGGCCCTCAGATGCTCCATTATGGGGTGCTGCAGGGCTCAGTCATCGCCCCTATCCTGCAACATCTACACGAATCCACTGAGAGAAATCATCTATCAATTTGGTAATAGGATACGAAGTTGCACATCTCCCACCTGAGTGAAATGGAAGATGAGGCAGATGCCTTGGGTCTGGGCAGGTGAGAATGTGGCTAAGAGGACTTTTCTCAGCTTCAGCTTGCACACTTGCCTGGCATAAGATGCACTGAGGACAGTCACTCATGTATTTGTCATCTCTCATTTAGACTACTGAAATTTGTTTTATATGGGATGGCCTATGAAGACCACACAGAAACTTCAACTGATCCAAAATACAGCAGCTCACATGCTCGTGGATCAGTCTTGATACTGCCACTGAATATTGTTGCTGTGGAAGCTGCATTGGTTACCAATATGTTTTTGAGTGCAATTTATTCTGCTGGCTTTAATGACTTGGTTTTTAAGAGAACGCTTTTTCCTGAGAAAATCTGTCTGCCTGCTCTGGGCAGTCAGAGAACACCTACTTAGGTATTCCAGCCTACTAGGAGGTGGGAAGGGAATGGACCCAAAGGTCCCTTTGGATGTTCTCTGTAGGGGCTCACCTTCTACCAAACAGCTTACCTTCCAGGGCAGATATGAGCCCCCTCTTGCGGCTTTCATCCAGAAAGGGGCTGATTCTGGAGCCATGTTAAGATTTAGTGTGTGTGTGTGTGTGTGTGTGTGTGTGTATACATATATATCTTTTATTATTGTATTGTTATTATTACTATTATTGTATTATAGTAATATTATTACTATAGTATATTATTGCCTAGAATCCAATTGAATTGAGGTGGTATTCACATTTCATAAACAATTTTGTTTTTCATGCGATTGTGAGGCATTTTGGAAATATGTTGGAAACATTTTATGGTATCATAGACATTTTTTCATAGTATGAGAATTTTTTAACAAAATATATGTTAATCAGCTGAATAAATGAATAAGCTACACTCCAAGCAAATTGTGTAAAATACTCTGACAATGATTATAAGGGATAGTGCTAAATAAATAGCTGTGGTCTGGTTCAGATGTTGTACCAGACCATTCATGCCACAATTTAAGAATTGTGTTACAATGATCTTGTGCTGTTATACCCAAATTATGATTTGAACCAAAGGCTGAAGTTTCCAATCTCTTATCTTGATAGCCAAAGGAATAGGAAGTACATGATCCCAAGGTTCATTTCAAAACTGTTTTAACGATAAACCATATTTAGTTAACCATGGCTTAATCTAAAGCAAGTCTTTAAGCAACATTTCTTTGGAAATATCAAAAACTCAGTTTTGCCTTGTTCCTCTGTTGATATTTTAATAAAATGGATTTTTTGTTTCCACAAATGCTAATTACTCACACACAGAAATTTGTTATCTGTTGGCTTTATGACAGCAGGGCATGTCCTCTTTCCCCTTTTAAAATTAAGATTTCTTTTTCTTTTCCATTTGTCATATTTTTCGGTTTTGTTTTTTTTAAATGTTCATCAGCTTACCATACTATATAAATGACACAGTTCTCATATTCATATACCTGTCCTTTTTGTGCTAATATGAGGAAGTGACATGTTATATACTGGTGTAGGCTTTCACAGCTGGCATCAAAGAAGCAGCGATGAACTTTCAGGCTGCATGGCCATGGTCTAGTTTTATTTTGTTCTGGCGTTTTGCCAGCAGCTGTGGTTGGCATTTTCAGAGGCAGAGTGAGTTGCTTTGTGGTGTACCTCTTGGAACTGAGGTTGACTGGGCTCTTGCATCCGAACCTGGCAAGCTGCTCTCTGATTGGTCCATGTCATGGGAGTGCAAGAAAGCTGGCTCCTGATTGGTTCCTTGTCTCATTGGTCCATTTTAAAGAAATTCCAGTATCAGTTCCTGATTGGCGTGTTTGTAAGCCGGGCTGCTTTGAGCCAGGGACATATTATTTAACTTTTCTGAAAGTCTTATTTTATGTTTTGATTTGTTACAGTAATAATAAATAGCTAGATTTTTTTATAATTCAATGTTACAACAAAAGCCAAGTGATAAATGCAAGTATTGCTATATTTCTAGCAACATGAAGTATTTATACCGAAATGAGGAAAGTCTATTGAGCGCTACAACAGACTTACTTGACCGGGTGGGACCGGTGGAAGTGGCTGCACAGGGGGAACTTGCAGAGGTGCCAGTGGTGCGCTGGTAGCTGCCATCTGAGAACTGGGCGTTGGAAACTGGGACAACAAGTGAGGTGCAGGTTGCTGTACTGGGCACATAGGCTGGTTGCTGAGAACTTGCTGTAAGGGAGCTGGGGTTGGGAGGGATTGCTGATGAATTAAAAAAAAATCATATAGATTTTTGAAGTGCTATCAGCATGAGTTGGAGAAGCAGTCATAGGCGAATAGCCCAACAACAAATTCACTTTTTTCAAATACAGTTAATGGGTTGAAAACCTACAAAATTAACAGTCTAAAGTCACGGTAAGAGGTAAAAAAGGGAAGTATATATAGATGCAATTCAATTTCTTCCTGCTATTTTCTGTGTCTGAAAAATTATCAGTTCCAATTCTTAATGGCTTTTGGATGATTATATCTTGATATAATAATCAGGGTTCCCATTTGTGAATTGGCGAACTGTGATTACCAGCTTCACAAAAAAGCCAAACTGTTAAATCAACTTCAAACTGCAATCCAATATTCCCAGTTGTTCCAAAGCTGATTTGGATGCCATTTACTTATGCAAATTTATACCCAAACTCAAATTACAAATCATCTGGAAACAATGATAATGGCCATGGGTAGATACTTCTTCCTTTCTCATGACCATTTTGAACTACTAACGAAATTAGCAGGCAGGCAGAAGAGAATGATAAAGCTGTCCATTTTCAGGTCACCAAAAGATATAATAGATGATAATATTTTTTAAAAGTCCAAATAATGAGGTCAATCCCTCCTACTTGTAGAAATAAACTTATAAGAGGTCAAGAACTAATCTTGAGTTTGCTATAGGGTGAGGAAAGAAATTAAAACTTTCTTGCTCTGTCTGACTAGCATCTACAGGGGACATTTACAAAGTCCTGACAGTGGTTGTGGCAGCACAATCAAAGCTCTGCCCCTTTGTACATGTATCTAATGTCAATTAAAATACAAAAGGGATGGGGCTTCAATTATGCTACCACAACTGCCATCTTGACTGTTTTGACACCTCCGCACAGATGCCACTGCTGTCCTACTCATTAATTGACACATTAATCTATTGTGGCGTTTAAGATTTGCTAAGAAATCTTTCATTCTATAATGGACAATTGGGCCTATAATACAAGTTAAAGTGGTTTTAAGCTTAATATCTACCTAAAAGACAGAAAGTCTGGCATAGTGGTTAAGGTACCAGGCTAGAAACTGGAAGACCGTGAGTTCTAGTCTCCCCTTAGGCACGAAGCCAGCTGGGGGACCGTGCACCAGTCACTCTTTCTCAGCCCTAGAAAGGAAGCAATGGCAAACCACTTCCAAAAATCATGCCAAAAAAACTGCAGGGACCTCTCCAGGCAGTCATCCAGAGTGTTTTGAAGGTTGGTGGTGGGGAGGGGGAAGAGAAAGGCAGAATATGTCAGTTCTCACCTGCTGGCTGACTAATACAGGTTGAGGTTGTATCATCTGCACAGGGGCAACTGATGTGGGATGAACAACAGGAAATGGAACTGCTGGTTCTGGATAAAGTTGTGGCCGCTGAGACACAACAGCAGTTGGACCCTGAACCACTGGAAGGCCAGGCTGGGAGGGAGGGAGGGAGGAAGATATTACTTTAAAAACCTATTGCCTATAAAAACTCTCAACAGAATACCTTGTCATTCTGTCAGTATATAGCTGTTCAAGATATTTGGTCAAATAATTAATGTTAATAATTCTGATTAACTGAGTAGATACCTTCCTATGTTAATGACCATTAAATAAAAAGTCCAGGGCCCCGTTTGACATTTAGGAATTGCAGGATAAACATATGCCTGCCCACATAAGCACAATACAAATGAATGGCTATAGCATTAAAGGAAAAGGAAGAAGAAAATATAAATCTTAAAGGTACTACTGCCTCTTTGAATACATGGGTTATACTCACAGGAGTTATTGGAACGATATCTGTTCCTAGTATGCATACATTCTGGAGTGTCCCCTGACGTTACTTTTCCCTCACAATTGAGCACCTCAACAATTTTTAGAGATTAATATTTAAAACAAATTCTTAAGCAAAGAGTAACTTGTTCCCTACATTCCTGACAAGCAGCTTTAACAAGCAAAATTTCGAAGAATTCTGTAATCCTGGTAACTATGATCCACTTCCTTCACATTTCTTCTTTCCTGAACTAGCTTTGGGTTTGATTCCTGACATTCTAGAGTCAGTATGATGACAACAGCTATAGGAACTGCTTTGCATCACAGGTAACAAATACTGGTTTAGCAAAGGCACAATGTAGTTTCTGAGGAACCACATACAAGACATGTGCCACCCTTGTTACTAGAAAAATCAAAAGGTTTATGTTCAACTGTTTGCAGTTCCTCTTACCATGATATTCTATTTATTTTTATGTTCAAGGTCATTGTAACAGGAAAAGGAGAAAAAATGTGAACATCTTTCCAGGTGACCTGTTTTAGATGTGGACTTCCTAGAATACAAGCACTTTTTCATCTTTGAAAAATATTCTATCCTGGAAAGGAGCTACAAAATTTCTGAACAGATATCTGCCTTTGAACACAACTGAAAGAATATCCGACCCCAAATGCAATTAAACAAATGAAGAAATCATATGACATGAGTATACAGACAGCAAGAAGGTAAAATAAATGAAATAACTTTCAAAACTAGTATGTACAATGTTTCTAAAATAGACTAGCCACCCTCTTTGCTTTATATTAAACCTAAATAATAAAAAGTATAAAATCAAACATAGGAGATAGGATATGTATCTTTGTGACTCCAATTCATTCATAAGTATGAACATACCCAAGAAAAATGGTTACCTGTACAGACTTCTGAGGTTATGCAATTATTTAATAATTTTAAAGAATTCATATGTGAAAATTGAAGACCATACTTACTACTGAGGGCTGCTGGTAGGGCCCTAACTGCTGAAGACCATGTGGCAAAGTCTGGTTCTCACTGAGTGGTGGGCTATAAACACGCTGAACAGCTGGAGGTATTGCATCAGGAATAGATGAGTAGATGACACTTTGCTGGCTACTCTGGGAGTCTGAATACACAGTTGATCCTTGACCACTGTCAAATGTGCTATCAGCTGAAATATTGTTAATATTATTTTTTTAAAAATTGAATGGTTTCATAAAGTAAAAGCAATCAAATCTTTATTTGTGTTGGAGTGTACAAAGGCCACCTGATCTTATTTAAGATCTTAATTTGGAGCTCTGGAAATAGCTTACTATGTATAGTTCAGGTTGCTCCAGAAGTTAGTCAATCTGAATTAATAATGAATCAGATCTGGCATGAGATGCAGAAAAAAAAAGATCTTATTTTTCCACAATCAAGCTTAGAAGTTCTGTATTTGCATAAAACCTCACCATGCCAGCAGGAAGGAACTGGGAACTTGTGTGATTGAAACCACTTAACAACCCTTGGAGTGGATTGGCAGGGGATTCACTTCATTTTTTGAACAGATTTAAAACCACAGGATGTTTTTTCTGTTTAAGTGTTACATTTCAAAGGTTGAAACAAAAGTAACTAAGCCAAATCCATGAGCTATACATGAGTTATTCCCAATTATATCTGAATTAGGAGATGGGCCTGTGGGGAATATATAAAATGTAGACATGACGGACTGAAGAAATTTGGAGAGATTGGCTGTCTACATTTCTTTCTTCAATTGTTCAAACCTTCATAAGAATTTGTCATGATCTGCAGTCTAACCACCGGTCTGGATTACCAAGGGTAAATGTAATATTGAGAGCCAGTTTGGTGGAGTGGTTAAGGCATCAGGCTAGAAACCAGGAGACTGTGAGTTCTAGTCCCACCTTGGGCACAAAGCCAGCTGGGTGACCTTGGACCAGTCATTCTCTCTCATCCCTGGGAAGGAGGCAAAGGCAAACCACTTTGAAAAACCTTGCCAAGAAAACTGCAAGGATTAGTCCAGGCAGTCACCAGGAGTCAACACTGATGCAAAGGCACCATACACACATAAAAAAAGTAACATTACTGTAGTATTTCTACAAAATATTATTAGTGAGTTTCAAAGTGCTGTTCAAGCTGACACTGCCAGCTCTTTTCTGTTATAGCAGTAATTTGAGTTAGTATGAATTATTTGAGATTCTGGGGATTTTTGCTTTCCTTCCAGGAGAGAATAGTGAAGCACCACAGGACTACTGGAAATAGCCCACATTAAAAAATGCCACTAGACCGTAATATTTGAGTTTACTAAAGTATATAAATGATCTACCTTTTATTTTGTAAACTTCTAGTAAGGTTAAATGAGAACTGTATCCCCAAATCATACTAAATGAAATAATTGGGCATATCCATTCCTGTACAATGATAGATGATATAAAAAGCATAAAACACTGGTTTCCAGTGTTATTTAAGAATGTTTAAAAATGTCTTGTGCGTGGGTTTTGTACACATATTTGGAAAGTTAATTTCTTCTGTGTTTGGAAATCTCATTTCTGGATTTTTCAATCTACTCTTGATGAAAACTCATCCAGGTCCACTTAATCATCCTTTCAGATTAGAAAACAATAACTCCTTTCAATTTTGCTTATCTATATAGTTTATGGATACTTAATAAAGGAGAGATGTTTATAGAGCAGGTAAATGTAATCTCATTATAGAAATTATCTAACCACAAAAATGAGGACAACTATACAGAGCTGAAGCAGCAGTTGGAAGCCAAACTTGGATTCTGTTATCACTCATTATGTTGTACACAGATGCTAAATTATTTATCTACATTTCTGCTGTCTTTGAATATCACCAACGGCATCAAGGAAATTATTTATAGGGCTTTTAGACTTAAAAACACTGTGCAAGCATTGCAACAACATATGATACCAATAATTTAAAGTAGTGAAAGAAATTATTGAGAGAAGAAACTCAGAAAGATTATTTTTAAAACATTCATGCACTATGAAACAGAGACTTTAGTTTTTATCTAATGTAATTAAAAGATATGTAGATCTTCAAGCAGCAGTCCCAGAATCTTTAAATATTTTTTACTAATACAAGAAAATTGTAATTACCATCATGACTAAACCTAGAACAGTATTTCCTCAGTCAAAATACATGTTGGCTCATTTTCATACACAGTGAGCAGTCCTACCAACACTAGAGATGGCCTAATTATCTTGTTTTAGAAGGAAGATTCAATCTCCTCCCTCCCCCCCCAAAAAAGCAGAATTCAGCCTGGAACATAATTACCTAATAAAGTATGTTCCTGCTCCTTTGTATTTAAAATGGTAGGAAACGAAATGTTTCTGGAAACTGTGGATAGTCAACTGACTCTCAGTTGGTCATTAGGGACAAGATGTATGTTGCTAGCTGCACCACTGAGATGAAAAATAGCAAATGGAACCACAGTGATGGAAGTCACAACTTATAGCACTATATTTTTAACAGCCTAATATCAATTTAAAGTAAAGTTAGGCTGAATTGAGGTCCTGGACTTCATAGGAGTTATCACTCCCTGTGAAAGATCATGGAGATGGATTCAAAGATGCATCTATGCAGTTCAGAAGGTTGGCTATGTTAACTTGTCAGAGAATGGTTGATGGTTCTTTTTAAACACCACATAACAGCACTTCCTCTGTCTTCCTGTTTCTTACAATGATATGATCACCTGACTGCTACATGGTTACTGCAAGAAGAAAGGAGGAGAGCCTTCACTTGTTCTCAGTGCCTATGAAGTGTTTTTTAACATAAGGGGGTATAGGAAGAGAAAAAAATAATCATTCACTGACTAGGTAAGTTAACTTCTCCCCTCAAGTTCCAGGGGAAATTCACTTCCTCCCGATGTCAGTTTGTCCTGCTTTAAAACTGTTCCCCTCATAAAAGATGCAAATTCAATTAGGCAGTCCTAATTACAGTAAGACAGAAACTGTTTATTGATCACTTAGTCTATATTTATTGTTCTTGTATACATTTAGTATGTATTTATTCTTGTCAAAGTCTGAGGACAACAGCAGCTGCACCAATATATCAGAGTGAGGCAGAATTCTTCAGAATTTTAGCTTGGCAGGAAGGATCTTATGCATGCTGATTAGGCCAATAAAAACAGAGATGCTAACTCTGTTGACACAGTAAGCAAACTAGGTATGTAATTTTCCTTGTTTGTTGCCCATCCACACCAGCCAGAGTAGCAGGAGCTATGAAAGCAATCTACATTAGCACACTTAATTCCTGCTAAACCAGAATTCTGAAGAGCTTTACTTACTGCAGTGCACAAATATGGCCATTAACATCCATTCTCACCAATAGTGCACCTGTACCATATCCTCAGTTACCCATGCAGAACGCATACTAGACTTACATGCAAGTGAAGTGATGCTTGTAGGCAGATTTTGTTGAGAAAGATGCTGGTCCACTTCAGGCTCTTCTGGTTCAGACAGAATGTGGTGACCAGCATGAGAAAGATGTGTAATCTGAAGTGGTTGTGCTTGTGTGGCCTTCATTTTTTCTAAACTCTCAGGATCCCGATGATCTTCTGAATGTAACATGGGCCAAATCCTCTCTCTTCTCCACTGTATTAAGGCTACTCTGTCACGTATTGATTTTGCAACTATTTTGACATCACTTTCATGAAAGAATCCAGCATCAACCTGAAATAAAACAGATTTTCATATGTTGTCTATGTTTTCACATCATGGAGCCCCATATGCCCACTCCCTATCCACTTTTAGTAACTAGATAGAGAATTATAGATTCTAAATCACTTAGGTCTGAGGTTTCATATATGTGTGGCTGGTTAGTTTGCAAGAATATGGTTTAGGTTTAGATATAGTAGTTAGCAGGTAGAGCCCCAAGGTTTTCAACCATAAAAGTATTTTCAGAAAGAATACAAGTTGTATATGAAACATTTTTTTTACAAAGCAGAGAAACAATTGCAAAACTATGATCAAGTGTCATAAATACAATTGTTATTAGTCATCATTTGATATGAATAGTTATTGTTCATATCACTATTGGAACTATTGTAATTTAAATATTCCTAGAACTCCATATAAAATAAATTCATAGTGAAGACTATTTTTTAGTCAAAATGTAACAGATGGCTGAAAGGGAGGGGGCAGTTTTAGGAATAATTAAAATCAGTCATAGTTGGCATCAAGTTCATATTATCTCAGATGTCTGCTTCATGAATAAACCAAATAAGAAATTTCCCATTTGCAATGCAGTCTGAGAAAAGTAACTTTTCAGGAAGAAACTCCCATACTGGTTACCTAGTATATTTCAAATTTGCAAATTCCATTTTTCAAAATGATAGGCAGCTAGTCCAAATATCCAAAGGAGATTCAAGTTACAATATTTAATAGATTCCTCATTTTGGCCATGTTGCATCTTAGATGTTAAATATTACAATTTTCACATAATGATTATTCTCTCTGTTGGATATGGAATGTGCATACGAAAACAAAGGCAGAATTGGTTTCATGGGTATCCACAGAGGGGCAAGGCGAGCAAATGACAAAATGTGTGTGACATGGCAAATCGAGTTGCATAAGTCTTAGTAACATTTGTGTGCTGGCATCACATAACATAGGTACTCATTTTGGCATCATTGCAGTTTCCTGAAGACACCACTCAGTGGGTTAGATGTGGTCCAATAAATTGAGTCTGAATTTTGTGATATGGAGATCCTATGAATTAGATGGGTGCCAGATCTGGTAAAGAGCCAGCTTGTGCTCCCTTTGAAAGAGTTAACTGTGGGACAGGGGGAGGATGCCCAGATGGATATTGGATGTGGCATCAACCAAGACCCCAGGGTAGGGGTGGTGATTGTCATCCAAGATACATGGGAGATTTCCAGAGGTACTGCTCCATAGATTACTGGATGAGAGACCCTGTTTGTTAAGTTGGACTCTAAGAGGGATTGGTTGGGACTGTTGCTATTGTACCAGTCTCCTTGCTGCATACCATCCTCCCTGCCTGAGCTTCTTGACTCTGTGGCCGGGCTGACGGTGAGCCCCCAATAACCAGGATCTTCCATCTTTGGTTCTGGATGGAGTGGCACTGCTTTAGACAGAACCCGTGGATAATCTGGGGGTTATACTGGACTCACGACTCCTGCTCAAGGAGCAGGTGGCAGCTGTGGCTAGGAGGACCTTTGCACAGCTTTGGGTTGTGTGTCAGTTGTGTCTGCTCCTGGATTAGGGGGCCCTGCTCACAGTCACTCATGCCCTTGCGACCTCCTGTTTGGACTACTGTAATGTGCTCTATATGAGGCTCCACTCGAAGAGCATTCGGAGCTTCAGCTGGTGCAGAATGCGGTGGCGCAGGCAGTTAATGGCATCAGCTATTTGGGGTATGTGACACCACTGCTCCATGAGCTGCACTGGTTACTAGTTTGCTTCTGGGTACAATTCAAGGTGCTGGTAGTCACCTTTAAAGCTTTACATGGCATGAGGCAGGGTTACTTACAGGACCGTAGCTTCCTGGTTGTTTCTACCTGCCCTACTTGTTCTAGCAGGAGAGGCATGTTGCAGGTACCATTGGCTAAGGAGTGTTGGCTGGTGGGGTCTCAAAGAAGAGCCTTCAATGCCATGGCACCTGCCTTCTAGAACATCATTCCCCCTGAGATTAGTTGGCCCCCATCCTGCTGGCCTTCCATAAGGCCCAGAAGATCTTGTTTCTGTCCTTGAACCTGGGGCCCTGGGTATGTGACAGAGCCCATGTCTTGGCTGTTCTGAGGACTTTTTATGATTCTCCGGCAGCTGTCTGTTTTATTTTTGGTTTATTTTTAGCAAATGTGTGTATTTTTATATTAAAGCTATGCGCCACTTAGAGTGATGTATGTGAGATGAACAGCCATATAAATCAAATAAATAAACAAATAAAATACAGTGTGAAGTCACCTACAGAAACATCCTTGCCATTAAAGGCATAAATGAATGCTATGCCAAGGAGTATCTTTGACTGATATGTCAGCTACAACTATTCCTGTATAGGGAAAGTTTAGTCCCTGTGATCTCTGGTAACTTCATAATTTGTGTATTGTATTGTGCTCTATATAAAGTTCCTCTTATGCATGGGAAGCTGTAACTAGTACAAAATGCAGAGGCAGAGGTACAACTGTAAGACCGCCCCTTCACACTGTTGTTGATTTGCTGCTAGACGATGTATTAGGTTCTAAGATTTCAACCTATAAAGTTTTCAAGAACTTGAAAGCAGGATGCCTTAGAACAGTGTTTCTCAAACTTGGCAACTTTAAGATGTGCGGACTTCAATTCCCAGAATTCCCCAGCCAGCAGATTTGTCCAAACACAGGCAGTACTGTATCTTGAAAAAGAAGAAGGCCTTTTCTATTTTAGTACTTCCACTTCAAAATAAGCATGCACTGACATTGCTACAGTTTATATACAAACTAAAAATATTCTTATGCACCTTGACATGTCTAATTTGACTTCTCAGATTTAAGTTTCAGGTTTCACTCAAAACCAAAAATTATTTGACCATTTCCACATCAGAGACAAGGGTTAACAAGTGGAACATATGTTGTCTGGAAAATAGTCGATCCATTGTGTAGGCACTTTAGACTGACATTTCTACATTAGAAAAATTAAACTGAATTTATTTCAGTGGAAGCTTGAAAGAATTCAACCAATAGTACTTTGCTTCATATGATTTAGGAATTCTAATTAAACCTTCCTAGATATTGTAAAAATGATAAATTGGATTCCTGAAAGGAGAGGAAATGAAGAGTACATTACAAAGAAAAAAGAATCAGATTTGCTGCTTAATGTTAATATGTAATTTTAGCAAGCAGCTACAGCTTGATTTAGAATAGTTGACCCAATTTCATGGTAGATTTTTTTGTAGAAATAAAAGTAAAATACAGAATACTTTTTTGTGAAAGTCTAACAGATTCTTTCTTCCATGTATTTCTATGAAGAATTACTTTATTAGTAACTTGTTACGTATCTTCTGTTTCAATTTCATTAAGTTGTTGGCTTAAGAAATACTTGTAATAGAATAGTAGAATAGAAATCTTTATTGTCATTGTACCACTTGTGCAACGAAATTAAATGCCACCCCAGTGCAGCTTTAAAAATATAAAAACCATAAAACACATAA